TATCTATTGATATAAAGATATAATTGAAGAAACATATAGATGAAGGAATGGTTCAAGAATCACGTGGGAGTCTGACCCCCAAGAGTTCAATTTCAGAAGCACAATGGACCAAATTGGACCAAATTCCATGTGAAGGAATCTTGCCAAAAAACCTATGTGATGGACTCTCCTTACAGTCAATATTTATTTATTTGTTATGTCAGAAGCGAATTGAGAATAGTTATAATGTATAAAATACCACCAAGAAAGTTAAAAACTTGGAATTCTACTACATGTCCTTTGACCAGAAGCTGGCCACTTCAAGTGCCTCCTGTGCTGCTGTAAGGAGGTCCTCTATTGTGCATGTGGCAGGACTCAGGTTGTATTGTAGTAAGTAGTCTGTGGTTTGCTCTTCTCCACACTCGCATGCCACAGACTCCACTTTATAGCCCCATTTCTTAAGATTGGCTCTGAATCTTGTGGTACCAGAGCGCAGTCTGCTCGGTGCCTTCCAATTTGCCCAGTTTACTGTGTGCCCAATAGGGAGTTTCTCACCCGGTATCAGTCACTGATTGAGGTTCCGGGTTTTAACCTGCCACTTTTGGACTCTTGTTTGCTGAGGTGTTCCTACAAGTATCTCTGTAGATCTTAGAAAGCTATTTCTTGATTTAAGACATTGGCATGCTGGCTGATATTCAAACAGAGGATGGGCTAGAGATGTCAATGCCTTGGTCTTTTCATTACTGGCTACTACTTCCTGATGGATGTCAGGTGGTGCAATGTCTGCTAAACAGTGTAATTTCTCCAGCAGTGTAGGGCATAGACAACATATGATAATGTGGCATTGAAGACACTCAACAGCACAACAAATTAATCTGTAATTCTCTATGCTGAGCAAAGGGCATGGGCAATGGGTTGGACCAAAAATGAAGCTTTGAATTAACACTTGAAGCCTATAGACAGCAATGGAAAGCCTTAATATTAAACATCTTTATAGGTTGACAGTGATGAAGGGGACTTGACTATTAGGAAAGACATTGTTGGATAACATAATGGCATGTTATGAATTCATGTGGGTTTGTTTTTAACAGTGTTTTTACTTATTTATTTTAATTATATACAAACAGATTTTTTTAAATAATTGCAATGTTTAATTCTATTTTAATATTTATTTTTTGCATGTTTTAGTTGTATACTTTTTAAAGTTGGGGGCTGTTTTGGGTCTCAATCTTGAGAAAAAAGTGGAGTACAAACGAATAATAATAACAAAAATCACCACCACGACCACTTCCATTTTAACTTCCCTTCCAACTAATCACAAAGAAGTTGGCAGCACCAAGGAGCTCTAGTAGAGCAGCAACCTGGGTAAAGGACCCAGTGATAATAAATTCACACTTATGGAATGTGTCCTAAATAGCTGGAATTAGGCAAAGCTTAGATTTCCTTTCAGCGCCAGTGCTTAACTGATTTAACTGTGAGAAAATAAAGAGTGTTACCATCTGCATCATTAGGCTCTGGTTTCATTTATTGTGAGTTGCTTTAAGTGTTGCAAACAGAAAAGCAACTCAGATTTAAATTAATAATAATCATTGTTATCATGCTCAAGTGTCAAATGAGTTCCGTGGTATCAAAACAATTAAGTTTAAATAAATTTCAGCAGAGGGGAGAAGCCGGTTAAAACCCTTCGAAACCACATTTTCTCTATGACTCCATTTTCTGCTCAAACCAGCATGCATCGGCCTTTGTGCATCAATATCAGTCTGGCATTTCCTGGCTTTTCTCAGTCTTATTTCCTTTTGCAATAATTACGGAGCATTGTCTCCTGCAACATATGCTATCAGTACGACATGTTCCATAACATTTAACTCTGTTTCCCTGCTGCCATTCTGGAGCTTCATGGCTTAATGATACAGAGTCAGTAGATCACAATATGACCCTGTTAATATTTTTAATGCCATTTTTACAAATTACACCATAATGCACCGATTACCAGGATGAAAGCAAAGTCTCGGCTGCGTCTGTCTGGAGCCCAAATAAAAGAACGTTTGAACATCTGTTCATCCTACAAATGTCTTTAAAAAGCTTTGATTTTCCTGTAATCATTTGGTTCCACCATTTCACTCGTTTGCTGAATGTGTATCCAACAGCCTCAGGACAGTAGCCAGAGATCAGTGGTAATAGTACATTATAATCAAAGTTCCTGGGTGCACTTCTGTTTTCCTTTCAGAATGAGAAAGGAGGGGAGGCGGCAGAGCCACTCTTAGCTGTTTGTCCTTTATGAATACTGAGCTCATAGTGACAGGCAAAATACAGTATATAGGTGTAGAATAACTCAAGGCAGAAGTTTAACACAAAATTTAAAGAACTTAGATATTTTTCAGACAAATAATCCTTGGTTCTAGGAATACAAAACTGATAGGTCAATGGGAGAGAGGGAAAAAACAGAAGTATAAAATCTATTTGCTAGCACTGAATATTAGGACTTACATAACTGTTGACTTACTATTCAATAATGTCTGTAATGAGTCTACTCTAGCTAGGACTAGCAGTTGGATTTAGGCTAAGAAGCTCAAGTCCATCTAGAATTCTTGTTCTTTTCCAGGAATTTGCACAGTACTACAAAAAGTATTCCCTGAACATGGCCAGAGGTCTTCCCTTTTTATGATTATGTATGCAACATATGGGATGGCTTCAAAATGTTTTCCAAAGGGCCACATTCCATTGCAATTAATTGGGATCACAGACTGTCGAGAAGAACAGGAAAATGCAATGACACCAAAAATGAACTTGGGGAAAGAATAAAATGTCAAGTGATAACTGACATCCATTTCCCTTTACACACTACCTTCTGTATCAAATTTTGCTGAACCAAAGCAAAATATAGAGTGAGAAGAAGCAAATCACCATTACAGGCTTGTGTCCACATGCACAGTTAATTCAATTACAAAAATCCTTGACACATATGAGCTCCTGTTTATTGTAACTAAACACTAGCAGGGAAGTTCAGTAGCAGTGCGCTTACTATGTTCTTTTCGGATTTGCACAACTGCAGGATACACATGGAAAGAGATGTAGCTCTGAATGCTCCACACTATTAAAAATGGCCTGCATTTTCAACACTGATGTATGTAATACTAAGGAAAGGTTTAATTTGCTTTAGTTTATCTCCTGCGTATTATGAAGTTTTGGGTAAAGAAGGTTAGTGAGTCGGTACTAATACTGCTTATATAAATAAAGCAACATCAAAGAAATAGAATGGGAGAAAACAGAAAGGTTTGCATTGTCCAGCATACATCTCTATCTCATTTGTGCTCAATATTTTTTAGTCACTGAGGGACAAGAAGAAACAGATGAGGAGACCAACTAAATTGATTGGTGAAGTTGGGGAAAGTATCAGGAAACTCCCTAACTTTTCATAGACTATTTCCTTCATGTTATTTTTTCAGGGCCAAGTTTGACATAAGTAGGGTAGACTGGATATTGGGTATAGAAGACTGGATTTAATGAAGATGAGTAGAGGTACCGCTTTGAGAATAAATTTAGTACTCTGATTGTAAAAATGGACTGTATGCCCAAAGTTAAAATTCAGAAAAGCTATTTATTTATTTGTAATACATATTTTAAGCTGCCTTTTCTCCCAAAAATTCAAAATGGAAAAACAGGATTGCTCTCTGGGTTGTTGTAGGTTTTTCGGGCTACATGGCCATGTTCTAGAAGCATTCTCTCCTGACAATTCACCTGCATCTATGGCAAGCATCCTCAGAGGTTGTGAAATCAGACCTCACAACCTCTGAAGATGCTTGCCATAGATGCAGGTGAAACGTCAGGAGAGAATGCTTCTAGAATATGGCCATATAGCCTGAAAAACCTACAACAACCCAGTGATTGAGGCTTGCTCTCCTTAAAACATTTTCTTCTCACTTTATCACTGTGATGTACATTAGAAACAGGACTAATGTAACTCAGTGGGCTTCATATTTGTGCAGGACTTTGAGGATTTTTGTCTGATTGTGATTCTGTAATGGTAAGCAATTATGGCCTAGTTTCTTAAAAAAAATTTCCAGATTTTGATGACTGGCTACCAACATACTTATCTTCAATACATAGAGCTAGGTGCATCTACACTGTAGAATTAATGGAGTTCGACACTTTAATGTTATGGATTCATGGGAGCTGCAGGATTACAAGGTCTTCCACCTTCTCTGCCCAAAAGTGGTGGTGCCTCACCAAACACCAAAGTCCTAGGATTCCATATCATTAAGCCATGGCAGTTAAAGTGAGATCAAATTGTATTCATTCTACAGTGCAGAGACAGCCTGAGATCAACACCTATCTTGCAAGGCTTTCAGAGATCTTTCTAGGCATGTGCATGAACTTACACACAAAAAAGTACAATACTTAATGAACAAATTAACAAAACAGGAATGAAAAGAGAGCCATAGTTTCAGAAGGCTGAGATGGTATTCATCTTTTCTCAACCATTAGCCTTCAGATGCCATTCGTAACAGCATATAGCAAATATTGCTCTGAAGGATTCTGGCAAGAAGTGCAATTTTTCCTCTGCAGATAACGTTTTTCCTCATTGGGTCTGGTAGCACAAATCATACAAAGTAATAACGGAATTCGCCTAATTCCTTGTGAATTTGCTGAAAGCACACCCCATAATCCTGAAGGATGTACTAAAGCTTTGGCTGAAACTTATTGACTCAGCAAAAATAGTTCAAGATCGCTCCATACAGCACTTTTATCCTGTTTAATTTAAATGAGAACTCCCCAAACTAATTTCGGCACAAAATTTGCCACAATGCAGGACTACTAAGTAGAAAAAGTCTTTATGTTTTTTTTGTTTTGTTTTTTGTTTTCAGACTTCAACAGAATTACCAGATGATATTGTAACACAGCACATGACTTCGCTTTGCAAAGGAAAGGATCATAATACAAATAGTGAGAAAGCACTATGGCTGAATGAAAGACTAATTGTAAATGCATTATATTTAAATAAAACCACTGTAATTCTCAAGGCATTTTTGGTTTTGTTTTAATTCTCATAATTTGACAGTTTGATGATAACAGTATGCTTTTAGATACGTTGAGCAACACTGACGACCAGAAATACTCAATAGTAGATCCGAGTTGCTTATATTATCAGTTTTCCTAGAGGAAAACATTAGCCAGCAGATCTGAAAAGCTTGTACAAAAGTATTACACAAAAGCAGATCTGAACCCGGGAAACAGCAAAGGTTTACAATGCATACCATGAAATTATGTACATCCCTAAAGATGTTTTGACACTGAAGCCAGTTATAAATGGTGCTCAAGATACAAACCTCATTTACAAAGTAATCCCTGCTTTACAAATACTACATTTGGATTATTATATATAAGGGAATTTAAACACCTCATTTAGTTTGATTGTGCCATGTTTGCCTTTTTTACTTTCTCATTTCTATCATAATATATGAGAAAGTTTAGTTATAGATCGGGCTTTGTGTGTGTGTGTGTGTGAGATTGAGAAAGAGAGAGAGAACAAGAGAGCTTGCATATAAGACAGTGCATTTGAATTAGCTGTAAAAGAGCAATAGTAACAGGTCCTATCTTTCTGCAACACAGCAGGTTAGAACAAAAAATATCCATGGTATCTTGGGCCAGCAGTAATCAACAAGAAATGGTCTTTAGTCCATGGGAACTGACTTGCAAGTGATTTTGGTATCCAACCTTTAAAGGACACTTCAGATGTTTCTCAAGACTGAATCATTTTCTTCTGTGAATCAAAGACATATCTTTTAAAGAGAAGAGTGATATGAACAGGCTGGACTGAGTCAACCCTGCTGCTTTCATCCTCTTTTGGTGTATCCCCCTTCCCTGCCTTGGGCTTCTTCTTGGAGATGGTAGTCAGGAGCGCCTTTGTTTCTGGCTTCACCCCATCTGAAAAGAATAAAGAGACATATTTTAAAAAAGGAAAAACCTCTGGGCAAACATTTCAAAATTATTAGTATCAATCTCAAAGTGGTTTGAATGTGAGCTCATCCCCGCAGGATCTCAAAGTAGGAACAGCAGTCCAGAAATCCAGGAAAATTGGCAAGTTGACCACTTCAGTTCAGGCTTTCATTGAGTAATGGGATAAACAAACACAAATCATGAAAACACATTGGTTATTCTGCACACACTGATTCATTATAAACTCCAGCACCTCATCTTCCTTACACTTCAGAAACCTACATCTGATAAGCCAGCAATTGAGGCAACTTGTGCCTAGGCTGTTTTAGAAAATTCGGCATGTAAGAACAAGGATATGAGGGAGAAGGATTCTAGCCCATGCTGCTCTCTGCTAATTGTCCACACACAGAAAGGTTTTCCTTTTGTTTGGTAGAACATTTTGCCACATGAATGCCTTACTTGGGTGATCCCTCGTAGCTTGCGGATGGTGGGCCTCTAAATGCAGTGTCTTGGTGGTGGATCCATAGGTGGCTGTGGAGCCCTATTCTTGATCTGCATGTTCTCCTTCAGTGAGGACATCAGTTTCCAGGTGGAAGGTGGTCCTAGTCAGGATTGGCTTGACATGCCTTCATCTTGGCACATTTCTCCCTTTTGCCCTCCATTCGTGCCTCTTTGAATTCTGCAGCACTGCTGGTCACAGCTGGCCTCGTTAGAGCGCTCAAGAGCCAGGGCTTCCCAGTTCTTGATGTCTATGCCCCCGTTTTTAAGGTTGGCTTTAAGCCCATCTTGAAATCTCTTTTCCTGTCCACCAACACTATGTTTTTCGTTCTTGAGTTTGGAGTAAATTGGAAGACAGTGATTGGGCATTCGGACAACAGTTGAGTTGATGGTATAGGAGCATCGCTTCAACACTGGTGGTCTTTGCTTCTTCCAGCATGCAGACATTTGTCTGCCTGTATTCCCAAGAGATTTGCAGTATTTTTCGGAGGCAACACTGCCTCCAGGAGTTGCGTGTGACGTCTGCTGACAGCCCACATTTTGCAGGCATATAGCAGAGTTGGGATGCCAGCTTCAATTTGAAATGCGAAAGTCTATAAACAGATATAGGGGAGCCTAGACCTAATGTTTGGAAGGCAAAGCTATGAATGCGTAAAAACACGAATATCTGTCCCTTCTTATACTTATGAAACATCAGAGATTTTTAAAGAGAATGAATGCTGTCCAGGCATTGCCCTTGAGACCTTTTAATGTCTTCAAGTGGATAAGAGAGATCTAAAAAGCATATTCAGTGCCACCTAGCTGAATATTCTGAAAATGTAATTCTTGGGCAACAAGCCAATTTCAGCTCAGGTATTTCTAACCTGTGGTGTCATATAACCTTATCTCAAACACTTAATCAGCTTCTCTCCTCTCATACTGAAATTCAGAGACAGATTCTCATATCGTAGCCCGACAAAAAGATTGAGATGTTTATGATTTACTGGAGACAGGACGTCTACAAGTACAGGTGATCTGTTCCATTGCAGACAAACTAAATGGCTATTCACGGCTGATTGTGGTGAATCAGCCTGGTCTTTTTTCTTCTAGCCTTGTCAGGCAGCTATATCCACTATGGGGTGGGTGCAACATGATGCAAAGACCGAAATTGAGACAACGCTGTAACAACACAAGAGTCTATTAACTTTTCTCTTCAACACTGCAAGCTATTTTTCATGCCTCCTGCATCACCTGATTTCTGAAATATGATTCTGTGAGCCTAACCTCCCGCCTGTTGGTGATCATTCATAAATCCGCAAGCACTTCTCAGATATATGAAAGAAGGAATGGCTGGACGTTTTAAGGACCATAGCATACACCTGAGATGTTGTCCTGAGTTTCTTGGAGGAAAAATGTTATAACAGCAACACAATCTGAAATGTCAAATGTGGATGCAACTAATTTTTTTAAAAAAATTTTTTTTTATTGGTTTGTGGTGCATACAGAAAACAAAACCGACACCAAAGGAAAACCGAAATAAGCAACTAATTTTTAACATACCAGCAGCAGGCAAAATGCAACCATGGGGTAATATGCAGATGCCTCCAACACACTGTTTTTGTATCTTTTGACCTGTCTCATTTCCCCAACCTGCTTTTTTTCAAATAAAAAGAGGAGAGGGTGACTTACCTCTCTAAGAAACTTCTAAAAGTAGCAATTCGCTTTGAAAATAGGGGTCTTTTCCACCACAAAACAGTAGCACTATAATTCAATTTAACTACAAGGCCTTCATCACATGGGATAGTGGGATTTATAGTTTGGTGAAGCCCCAGAGCTCTCTGACTAAGAATTCTAAACACTCAGTCTAAACTGAAAATCCCATTGGATGGAACCAGTGCACTTCAAAAAAGTAGGAACACAGTGCTCTAATTGTTTGGTGTAGAAGAGACTAGATTGCAGGGCTATACTTTTACAAAAGTTTTATTTTCCCTCAAACCAGAAATGAGCTTCCAGCCACCTCCAGATTTATTTCTGGCATTTTGGATAGCGTTTATGCCTTCCTAGGGAATTCCTGGGACAAAGAAGCAGTTCCTATACTGGGTTACTATGAGTTTTCCAGGCTGTATGGCCATGTTCCAGAAGCATTCTCTCTTGACATTTCACACTTGACTCAAGCAGGCAAAAGTTCTTTCTCCCACTCTGGACATTCCACAGATATATAAACCTCACCTGCCTAGTTTCCAACTGACCTCACAACCTCTGAGGATGCCTTTCATAGATTTGGGCGAAATGTCAGGAGAGAATATTTCTGGAACATGGCTGTACAGCCCGGAAAACCACAGCAACCCAGTGATTCCAGCCATGAAAGCCTTCAACAACAAGTTGCTAGACTCATGGCAGTTGCCCATTCCTGTCATGTAGGCTCATTTAACAAGGGAATTGTGTTCATTTGGAGCTCTCTTTTAGGTATGTGTATGTGTGTGTGTGCCTTCAATTCACTCACTGACTTAATTTCATAGTGTTTTCTTAGGCAAGGAACACTTGGAGTTGGGTTAGTTCTTTCTCCTGGAATACAATCTGCAGATCCTAGTATTCACTAGTGGTCCCCCATCCATTCCTAACTAAAGTTGACCCTGCTTAAATTCCACGGTCAGATAGGATCTAGTGCCTTTAATAAAATTCCCAGGACTCTCTGGGGTAGAGCCACGTTGATCAAAATGGGATCAAACTGCTTTAACTATCTTCAAGGCTATGCCACCTACATCATAGAAACAGTCACTGGCCTTTTCATTTGATGGTTAACAGAAGACTTTCTCAGATTCTTTAGTCATTTAATTTATTTGTTTTGCAGAGGAAGAAAGCAAACAAAACAGCAACAGCCAATCGTCACTGTGGAATCACTGTGTTTATTTGTAATCAAAAGCACCAGTCATCTATATTTTGTTATGTGGTGGAAAACTACTATGAAGTCTTTTTGAACAACTCACATTCATTTATACAGGGCTTGCTCAGGAGTGTCTTCCATGGGCTATGTCTCTGGTGACCAAGAAACATCTAAATAAACCCATTTTCCCCAATCTAGCTCTAATGGTTAACCCTAGAACCTTGAATTGTGACCTGATGCAAAATGTGAGCCAATGCAACATATACAGCACAAGTTAGATATACATAAACACCCAAGGACAGAGAAAATGCAGCTAAATTTGGGAAATGGCAGATAAAATTCACAACAAACTTCACAAAGAAGACCTCACTTCAAACTGTATTCTGTGGGAAATCAAAGAGTGCAGGAAGGAGGTACTTCACTTATGAGCTTTGAATTAGGGCATTGTCACCAAGGTGTTCTACAGCAAAGGAGGTTGTAATAAATACAGTAGCTCACTACTAGAGCAAGAGAAATCACTAGCTGCCAGTCAAAACAGTTCAGGTATTACTACTACATATCTAAATTACTTAATCAGATCCGACTACCCCTATCCTGCAAACAGATTAGTGGCTGCTGGCATCACACCCTGACAAAATGGCATGCAGTGGGTTTTTCCCCCACCCTGGTGCCAGGAGGTCTATGGGCTGAAGAGGCTCTGTGACATCAAGCACACAAAGGGAGAAAGCACAAGCAGACAGGCAGAGGCACAATCTAGGTTTCATCTACCTCGGTGGATTTCTCACATTACACACAAGGCATACTTTACATTTTACAAGACCAAGGAAATGAAGGAAAATATATCTGTCACCGAATAAGACATCAACTCCTTAATAGCTGAAATGACGGATATTTTTAGATGGAGGTCTAGTTTAACTTACTTGCATTAAGGGTCTAATCTCTTTTGAACAATAGCTATGTAAGCTTGAATACATAGTGAGAAATCTGTTCCATTAATTAAGTGCTGCCTGTACTACTCGGATTTGTATCAAACGTTAATAGATTTCTCTCCCTTCCTCTGTTGGACAATTACCTTATTTTGCCAACTTGCTAATGGATTAAATTGAAAAGGTCTATGTGTTTAAAAAGAGAGAGAGAAAGAATGTAGCTTCAAAGTTCTAACAGGCGACTGGCCCACATTGTACGTGAGGAATACTTACATATGTTAATATTATTCATGGACAGTCCTTTGAGGCATATTAGAAAGTAGGAAGCTTAGCAAATTCTTTCCCACCCATCACCTGCTTTTACCTCCAAATGTATAAGGTTATTGAAGCTTTATTGGCATATAAAATTTTATAGAAGGCTAGCCTGTGGTACTGGGATAGAAATATAACCATCCATAACTCTTAACCCATTATCATGCTTGGCTATGTTTTGCTTGCTTATGCCTCAGGTTGAATATCTGGTTGACTAACAAGCAACTAAACTGCAGGATTTTAATGAGAGATATATAACAATTGGTTTATGTGATTGCAGAAATACTACTGATGCTTCCTATAACATGCAGTTCTTGATGCAAAATACCATATTTCACCAGCCAAGGGAGGCTCTGCAGCTCTTGTCACAGTTGTGCGGGTGGGTGAAG